TTTCTGCAAATATATAGGTAAATTAACTAACATATTACACACAGGTTTAGTATGCAAGCTGATGCAGAGAAGGGAGGTTTGAAAATATGACAAAAGATATGGTTACAAAAGTCCACTTAATGGGTGTCTCCTTTCAATCAAACACACTAATAGGGATCTCTCAATCAAAAAACAGAAAAGCAGGAGTTTTGTAGGGCCATTGCGATCATTGTAGTCAAATTCTGCCTTATTCTTCAGGAGGCTTTACAGGGAGAGAAAATATACGCTTACTTCTCATCCTCTCCAAAACAAACTGACGGGTGGTTAAAACTGGTAAAATCACTGAATGAAACAATTTTGCGTCAAAAATCTAAACTGCTGCTAACGTTTGCTCAGTGTGTTGTCCTGATAACTGAAGATCCAGATGTCACCCAGTTAAAAATATATAGACAAAACAACCATGATCTATAAAGTGTATTGAAAAAGTCATAACTACTGCCAACACTGATGCATTTATAAAGCGATCAAATGAAACAGATTGTTACTTCGATTAAAATGATAGATTCTTCTTAGTTTTAACATTGTTGGAAACATTTGGTACAATGCAAGTACACAACAAAACAAACCGCTTCTGAGACAAGCTCAACTATACTGTATCTGCTAGTAAGCTACATGCATTATTAATTTGGAATGAGAGGCAGCACCGTGGCTTCTTCACCAGACACTGAGATACTTTGAGGTGCTCATCTTTCCAGCTCTGTGCATGGAGGAATGATCAGGTTCATGGTGAGGACAGAGAGTTTTGCTGCAGAGAGCAGCAGCGTGACATATGGGTGGGTTGAGCAGAAGTGGAGCAGCGTTTCCCTCCGGAGGAAAACACATATGTAGATCCCCTATTCATGCACATGTGCACACATACAATATACTGGACAAAAAAAACAAAGTTATCACAACACGAATGCCTGTTTAGGAGAGGAGAACATATGGAGGAGAATCACGCCTCGGGTTCATCACCCCATGGTTGTGTCACTTGCACCTGACCGTACAGTAACTCCACCTAGAGAGGTTACTGAGGGCTGAGTGGCTGGAGACTGCAGAATCCAGAGGGAGAAAATGATTTGAAAGTGTACAAACAGAAAGCTGGTAGATTCTGGAGTCCCATCACATCCTCTCCTCCCTGCCCCACCCCCTTTTCCCCAAGTAGCTGATTTCATCCTCGCAAAGCCACTCTCACTGTAATCTCCCCTGATCCGTCTGCACTGGCAAAGACTCAAATATCAAACTCACACATGTTAAAAGAAACCTGGGACGACATGGCGGAAAATACAAGTTTACCTGCTGTTATTATAAGAAGAAAGAGTTGCATACTTTTTATATACGGCCAACAAAACATCCGTTGTATTACCTTTAAAAGAGTTGTCAGAATTATAACCAGATTTGATAAAGTGGGCACGTAGTAGCTTGTAGTTATATAATACCTAAATCTCTAAGCCTCTCTTTGGAATCAGAGGAGCATCAGAGACCCATGGGAATATACTCTAATAGCCTCTACATAATCTGTTAAACCTGAAAATCATATCAATTGTGATGCCCAAAATGCTACATTGCTTTGAAAGGAGTACAGCATAGCTAGAACAAGCCACATGAAGGAGAAGTAGCTCAAAGAGTAAAACTGCACCAACACACCTCACTTACCCACGAGACATTTTTATTCTTGGTTTGTTTGCTCATGGCAACGAGAGCAGGCCGGTAACGAGAGGAGCCCCCTCCTCAGCAGATTTCAGCCCCGCAGCCTGTTGTGTGCGCAGGTGTGAGCGGGATCAGGGGTGAGGGCCGGGGGCACGTCGCGCTCAGCCATAGGTCATCATCTGCCACGCAAACTGGCAAACCAAAAGCGCCTGCTCTGACTGCACCCAGCATCTGTCAGCAGGACGACCACAAAGTTCTCTTCACGTGGAAAAAGAAAAGTCCGGCAAAAAGTCTCTTCCTCCTGACAGCACACAGTGACCTGATGGACTGATTATGTATTCATGCCGAGTATGAATATGAAACATCCCAGCAGGTTTAACCCCGCCCTGCTGAGCCTCAGCGCGCGCCCAATCGCCGTGCATATCTTTGTGGCCAGCTCCCGAGGGTGAGCTTATAGAAGCATTAGGATGAACATGTGGAGAACAAGGCTCTTAGCTTACATGCAGGACCTCCAGAATAAAAAAAAAAAATCAGGAAGTAAATGAGGGAAACTACAAGGAATTGACCTCGTCTTCATCTTCTGTTGGTGCATCCCCCACTCATTATCCTCCCCTCTTTTTTGTTTCATCTATTGTCCTGTCCTCTCCACCTACTTTATCTCACTTTCCTCTACACTGTTCCCTCCTTCCTTTTCTCTGGGGTATGTGTCCTCACCCAGCAGCTACCTGTTGTCATGACACCTCTTTGCTAAGAGACAAGTGCTGTCATAGATAAAAGATGCTGGTTGAAAAGGGGATTCCTTATCTCTTTCATCCATCCGTTTCCACTCAGTAGCAGAATTAGGTTTATTCTATAAAATACTTACTTCCCTCTTCCTCTCACACATCTGATAACTCCTACACCCTAACTCCTATCTTCCTCTCTCTGGCACCATCAGCCCCTCTCCCCCTGATTTACACTCGTGGCTGTCTGGTTGCACAAGTGGATCTGGATTACTTGAAAAAGATCAGGGGGGAGTTTTGAGGCTATGCTTTGGATTTGAGTGGCTGCACTTAAGTGGAACTGAATTACAGAGAAGATACGGATATCCAGATCAGCACTGGTAGAAAAGACACACTGTACTGTACATGAACAACTGGCAGAGTGTATGGGGAAGGAGTGACTAGATACACATTTAGCTTTATTCAAACCCTTTAAAAATCATTGTAAAAACAATGCTATATAAAGTTCATATTACTACTACAAATGAACAACAATCGGTTATTGTTTGTCGATGATCTCCATTAACTGATTGGTGATTAAAACTATGAAATGTGGGGCATTAAGAATTATTCAGAGTCCATATAAATGTCTTGAAATGCTTATTATGTCTGATTAAAGGTTTTAATCGGACAATATTTGGCATTTTTGCTTGAATTTAGAACAATAAATAATGATAAACTAATAATCCATTGTCAAATATGTTTTTGTAAATTTCTATTAATGATGACAACCAAACAAACAACACATGTATAGTTAAAAACTCCAATAGGTTCTACAAGTTCAGGGTTTTAAAGCAGGGCTTTCCGCGGCTCCTGATCCATTTTGAACGTGTGTCGCTCTAATTAATGGTCTGTAGTGTCCGTATGGGCCGGCAGCCCTCCTCTGGTGCACAGGCTTGTCTGCATGTCTCTAACGTTAATTGGCCTCTCAGAACATCTGCTCCTGTTTTAAGTGATGCTCGCTTTGCCCTCGCTGCCCCTCGCTGTCTGAGGTGCCAGTTTAATGGGCACCAGCTGCTCCTTCATCACTCTAATGATGGCATGATTGTCCATTTTGTTGAAGATTATTTGCCTTCTGTATGTAGTTATTGGAGACATGGTAGAGAATAAAGATTGGGATATGTGAAAAGGAGTTATGGTATCAAAGTGAACTAAAATAAACCAGAAACCAAAGAATATACATGAAATATAAAGAGCTCCACCAGCCACAGAGAATCCACTCAAGACATATTTCACCCTAAAGCCATGTGTCGTACTGTAACATAATGCTAATAAATGGAATTAGTGAATCGATCGTGCCAGAAACTGCAAGCCTCACAGAAATGGATGACGGCACTCCAGGCCTGAAAGCAGCTGCTTTCCACTGATAGCAGTGAAGCAGCCAATATGATGTGTTGGAGGAGTGAGACGAGGCTAAAATTAAACATTTACCACAGGGAGCAAATTACTTCACAAGTATGGATCTCATTTAGTGGGTTGTTAAACCGCACGCTGGTAGAGTATGTTCACAATATACATTTTCAGACATTGGCCATGCAACATGTGTGTGTTTTGTAAAGCTGTGCACTTTGCCTAATTTGAAAGTCAAATATTTTAACTAAGTACATTTTGGATATTTGTTTATATCACTCCATAAATAAATGAAATACTGTCAACAGCCATAAAAAAAACAAGTTTCCCATTTTTTTTAAATGTTCACAGAATTCACAGCTTATGGTTTAGGCACACAAAGGAAACAAGGTAAGGGGAAAAGGTGGGTATGTTGTGGTTATGTTTGACAATTTCACTATCAATACAACAAATAATGGATTTGTAGGCAGTCAAACAAGCGGAAAGATCATCCAGTCATATATTTAAAAATGGTTGAAAAAATTGCTGCATCTCTTCTTTCCCCCC